ACCAAAAGGCATTACATTCCATTCATACTGACCGAACAGGACTGTAAATGTTGTTTTATATCTTTCATTTTCCTTAATTTGTATTTGCCAAAATCCGGATTTCATATCAAATTTTGAAAAATTTTTTGCATTACAAAGTTTTTGAAGTAAATCCTTTTTAATTGGAATTGGATATCTGATCCATTCTAAAGCTTTATTTAAAGGTTTATAGTTTATTACTAGTCTGAGTGTACCTCTTTCTATTTCTGCATTTTTAATTTCATAGAAAGCTGAACAACTCCAGAGTGATGAACTTTTCCTAATTAATTTTTTATCTAGTAAATCTTGCATTTCTTTTTTGTAGTAATTTTTCATTTCTTGATTCATCTATATTGCTCTAGCTTTTGTCCAAATTTGTTTTTCATCAAAGTCTTTTGTATATGGTAAAGTTACTTGATGCTTTTTTCTTTCCCAGAAAGCATTTGGTATTTCAGAACAAATTGTTTTTTTTCAATTTCATCTCTGATTTTGTCAATTCTTTGGATATTTTCTCTGAGTTGTAATTGTTGGTTAATTTTTTCAAAAGAGATTTCTTCTTTTAAGTAATTAATTTGTTTTTGTCTATATTCTATTAAAGAATTTACTTGCCCTTCATGGATTGAGAGTTTTTTTAGTAAATTAAGGTTTTTGATTTATGGTTTTTCTACAAAAGGAAAGCTTATTTTGGTTTTTAATATTTTTGTAGTTATTGCTTCATGTTTAACTTTGTATGGTTTTAGTATGGAAATGAACGGTGTTCCTAGAATTACATCTTGTGTTATGTCTTTGACCACTAGAAATGGTGTCATGAATTTAATTCCTTGATTGACTATCTTTGCATTTGACAACTTATAAGTTATTTTTAATTTTCCTCCGTTTGCTGTTTTTAGATATTCTGAGGTTCTATCATAATATTTTGTTGGAATTAATCCTTCTTTTATACAATTTTGATAAGCACCTGTGTCAAAAAGTGCTATGGTGTTTATTTTATATTCTTCATTGATCAGAATTGTAATTTTTATTAAATATCTTTAGATGGCTACTTCTGTGAGTACCATCATGTAATCTTGTGTTTTTGAACTTTTTGCTTCGGATTCTGAAGTGTCATGGTCTTCTTGGAGACTTTTAGAAGTTATTTGTTGTTTTAATTTCTGTTGTTTTTTTCTTAATTCAATTATTTCTAATTTTATTTTCTTAATTTCGGAGTTCAATTCTTGTTTAGTTATCTTTCTTGGTTTCAACTTTTCATAGTGATCAAAGATTATATTTTTAATATTGTATATTGGATCTTGTTCTGATATCTTATCTAATTTATTTTCAGCGAATGATTTTATAGTTTCCCTTAATTTTTCTAAGTATTCTTTTTTAAGAGTTGGATCTTGAATTTTGTCTATGATTTCGATTATAAATTCTTGGTCTTTTTTTAAGACTTGAATTAAATTTTTAGTCTCTGTTTCTGACGAGGAGGATTGAGATGTTGTTTGGATTTCATCTATATGTAATTCTTCTGTTGACTCTGAAAGAGTGTCTGTGTCTGTAGAGGATTCTATCAAAATTTTATTTATTTTTTGTTCAATTTCTTCTCCTAATTGGAGTTGATTACTTTCTCTTTTGATCTTACAGTATTTAGATATATGTCTTGTTTTGCCACCTTTGAAGCATTTTATGGTTCTATCATACTGTTTAAATTATTTATTTTTTTCTTTTTGATTTCCTATAGTTTTTGTACTTTGGTGTTTTATAATATTCTTGGAGATTTTTTTTATGTTTTCTTTGTTTCATAGGTTTTGATGAACAACAATTTTTTGAAGAGGATTCTTGTTTGACATCAAATTGTTGACAAAAAGATCTTAATTCTTTTGCGCATAATTTTCTTTCTCTTTTTAATTGTTTTTGTAATTTTAAGTTTTGACAGATTTTTAATCCTTCTGTTTAAGTGAAGCTTATTAATTCACCATATGTTAAACTTTCATAAGGAATTATTCCTTTGTAATTTTTCCTAATTTGATTCCTAATCTTTTCTCCTAATAATGTTGGGAGGCTAGCTAAGAATTTTTCTTTCCAAAATGGTTGATTATTATTTGTTCCTTGCATTACTCTTGTCATGAACATATCTTTGTACCATTTGAAATCTGTTAATTTTTTACAGTTTAAATTTGATAATAATTCTGAATTTCTATCTCTGAGATGTGAAGGATCTCTTATGAAATGTTTCGAAATTGAAAAGATTAATGTTGTTACTGCATCTTGGATTTCTTTTCCTTGGTTATCTGATATAATGTTTTCATCATTATCTCTTTTAATAGCTTTTAAGATTTCTTGTTGTTGATTCATAGTGAGATAATTATCCCACCATCTTTTTAATTGTCCTGTAAAACCAGCGACTAAGAGGTGTGCTATTGCGTGATCTGTAATTTGACCAATCTGGTTTTGAGTTTTATATACATTTGAGACCATTGTCATTTGTTGGAGTTTGCCAAGAATATTATATTCTAACATACCATCTATATTCCATTCATAGATGGTGTTTGCATTATATTTATTTTGAAATGTTGGCTTTTCTTCTATATTAATATTTAGGGCTGTCATTTTTGGGTAATAAATTTTTTGAGGTTCTTTCCAAATCATTTTATTAATCTGTTGATTTTCTTTGAATGAATCTGTGTCATTATTGTCTATTGTATTGAGCATCGAATTTGGGTGCTATCTTTAGGGAGTATCTGCTACTATTCTTGAGTATTGGCTTTCTAAGGCTCCAAGTCTATTTTCTATTTCATTTAAAAATTGGTTGTCTTCTGTTTGTTAGTACCTATTGGGTATTTCAAAAGGTATAAATGCAAGTTTCATTGCCTGTTCTGTATTTGGAAGGGTCTATATATTTTGAGTTTGGGTTGGATGTTGTAATCTTGTTTCAATTGTATCTAATTGTTCAGAAATAGTGTGCAAGTTCAAGTTTGTAAAATTATTTTGTTCTACTATCATTTTAATATCTTTTGAAGTAATAGGTTCTCCTAGATTTGGTGATCTTATTCTTAAAGAAGTAGCCGTTATACCTATATTTTTATGTGAATATTATAATTCTGTCATTGGAGGGTGTTATGTTTTTATTTCTCCCCTAACCGACTGACGTTCTCTCCTAGTCTCCTTGCCAGACAATACATAAAAACTATACAATTTAAGTGTATCAAATATAATCCCTATTAAAATATAATCTGTAATTCTATATTTTGGGCCGGACCCATTTTCTTGCACTGAATATATAAAAATTAAAACCCGGATCCATGGCAAAACCGACCCGCCCATGTGCTCTCCTTGGCTTCTTTGTCCGTACTCCGGACCGATCTTTTAACATTGGTCCCTCTGGCGCCTTAGCCTCCCTAAACCCCACTCTCTCTCTATGCGCAACCATGACCACCAATATGGGTCCACCGCCACCGCGCAACCCTAACGTCTCGACGGAACCCGAACTGATAACCCAAGAAGAATCCGAACCCACAACAGTCAAAACCTCAAGGGATCCCCCCCAAAAGCCCCCAGTCCAAGAAAAGGAATCAACTAGTGATTCAGAACCAAATTCAGTTGAAAAGCCGTCAAGCTCGGAGCTTTCTTCTGTGCCTTACGCAATCCCTCAGTGGAGCGAACCTCCTTCTCACCATTTCTTCCTTGAGGTCCTTGAAGATGGCTGCGTCATTGACCAACTTAAAGTGTAATTATTTTTAACCTCCTCCCCCCTTTCTTTTTTTTCAAAGCCTTCATTTTTATTGGTTCGTTTTTGTGGAATTGTTGAATAATTGTGACATTTGTTTGTGCAGGTATGAGAAGGGAGCTTATATGTTTGGGAGTGTTGATCTCTGCGATGTTGTGCTCGAGCATCCCTCTATTTCACGGTTTCATGCCGGTAAATCTTTTTTAATTGATTATGTTAATGTTCTGAATGTGTTATGTTAGGAATTAAATAGCTTAAATTTGGTTGGTGAACTTGGAAATTTTGTTTGTCTTTGTGGAAATATTTGTTTGTAGAATAGGATAAGGACTGCAAATGGGTAATTTGTTGGAATTCTAAAGAAGTAGATTCAATTAGCTAAGTAATAACATTTATTGTTTTTCAAATGGAAAATGAGTTGGATGCCTGAGAAACAAAATGTGTATTTTTTTTTACCATTTTGTGAAGTTTACGCAGTCAAGGTTATGTTTATGGACATAACATATTTCAAAAACTCATTCTAAAAGGCTAACAAACCATTATGTCCATAACCATAACCATAAAATATAATGAAAAGAATTGGAATTGGTGAAGTTCATTCTTGGTTGGAGATAATAAATTTCAATTCGTTGACAAACCAAGAATTAGTTATCTTTATGCATTTTAGCAATATAGCTTGCTGAGTTGGTGAACCTCTGGCTAGTGTTTGCACTACATAATAAAACCATATCACTTTACCTCACATGATTGCATCTAAGGGTTTAATCAACTTTGTCTAAAATGTTCAAGTCTATACCCTCCAGAAGCAGCTTGTCAGACCTGACCAGCCTTTGAGATCCTTGATTTGTCTTGGGCAGCGCGATGAAAGCATTCTCTGTTCTTCACTTTACTCTCTTATGTTCTCTATTCTACAAGAACTTGCTCATGGCCACTCCACTACCAAATTTGTGGCATCTGAGCTAAACTAGATGGTGTTTTAATGAGATCTTATTCATGTAAATCTTTATTCTCTTCTTTTACCTTGTCTATTGCCAGTCCATTTGTTGCCCTTGCAAATTGCACCAATATTTAATATCAAGGAATGCAAGGATTAAGTAGAACTTAAACCGTAGGAATATGCTAATGCTTTTCCTTCTGCTATTTAATTACTTGTTTCTCTTTACTAGTGCTTCAGTTTAGGAGCAGTGGTCAGGCCTCTATTTATGACCTTGGCAGTAAACATGGCACTTCTATCAACAAGAGTCAGGTATTGCCGCACAACTGTGTTCTGTTTGTTGTATTGAGTTGCATAGTTCCATGTTACAGCATTTCAGTTATTCTTTTGGATTTTCAGTTAAAAAATGCAACATGTATAGAAGGTCAAACTCTCTGCTTCATGCTACAAATTTTATCTTTGATTCTTTTAGTTATGTGCTGCTTTTGACTCTTTGATCTCATGTACTATGGGAATTTTCAGGAATATCTTATCTATTATTTGTATTTTTGTCTTAGGTTATTACAATTGGATGTTTAGAGGAATGGTTACAATGTTTGAAAGTAATGGCTGGGCTTCCTGGCATAAATCTTTTCATCTCCTATTAATCTTTCTTCTGCCAGTGGAGAAGTTATTGATATTGATAATTTTTTGTAATGAAACAATTAAGCAAAAGGGTAGATAAACATATTCCGAATTTGTTCAAGATTTGTATATCTCTTGTTGAGGGAGAACACAACTGAACCTCTTTTATCATGTTAATTTGATGCTTAATTGCCCAATTGCTCAAAGTTGCTTGTTTGATACAATTTTTGTTTTATGCGGAAAATTTAAGGGACTTGCTGCTAGATTATAATGTCTTGTGCGTGTGACTCATTCTGAGTTGATTTTTCTTTCCAATTTAATTAGGTGACGAGAAGGACTTATATGGACTTACACGTGGGTGATGTCATTCAATTTGGCCAGTAAGTAGACTATTGCTTGCATGTCTTGATTTGCTTATATTTTTATTTATCTGTCTTTCTTTTCAATGCCGTTCATTTGTATTTCCAGTTCCATTTGATTTTCCTTACTCATTGGACTGGTATCCTTTGCAAAGGGAAAAGGCTGTTTCAATCTTGGAGCTGAATTCACATTGAGCATTGCATACTATTCTGATTTGCATATACCCATTTATCCCTAGTCAATAAAAAAGGACTATTTGAGTTGGCTTTCTCATGCACTAATCTATTGGGAGTAGTAGATTTAATGGTGGGAAAATAATAAGTATTTGCTATACAAGGCATGGTTTCTCACTTGCACATTCGTCATTTATTTTTTATGGACATGCAAGTATAGGTGAAGAGGAGGCTGGGTTGTGGGTTGTTATGGGGATGGGGCTTATAAGTTTCCATAGTTTTTATATTCCATAGCTGCGGGTTCAGTGTGTTCTGCACTTTCTAAACCTTTGACTGCTTCATTGCATTCATGTCATATACCTATGTTGAATGTTTTTATTTGTTTTTTTAATTTGCTTATGGAAGAAAAAGTAAAAAAAGGGAGAGGAAAAGGATGTTATATGTGGTTGTGATTATTTTGGTTCTCTATTTTTTCATTGTGCAGTTCGTCTCGTTTGTATATTTTCCAAGGTCCCTCAGAGTTGATGCCACTGGTAAGACTTTTATGCAACTTATTTTGTTTATTCATTCTTTGATTTGATCTTCACTTTTCAATTTAGGGGTTTAAGTGTTTAATAGATAATTGAGAATTAGTTTTTACAATAAATGTTTTTGTTTGTTTGCACAAATCTTTTATTTTTAGAATTTTCCAGTTTTCATTTTCTAAAAGATGTATGAAACTCATCAGATAATCATAGTCAATCACATGTTGGTGTCCTATTTTATGAAAAGTGTGCATACCTGTGCAGTGGCATTTATGTAGACATAAACATGCATCTTGTTCAACAACTTAGGCTTGGTGTAGTGGTTGTTACCCTCCTTAGGAGAATTGAGGTCCAAGGTTTGAACCTCACTCCTCTTTTGTACCTCCATATGTGCCAAAATAATGTGCATCTTGGTCCATATATGTTCATTTTAGTTTATTCATAAATACATGCATAAATTTCTGATTTGTAAGTGTTAAGAAAATATAACATGGCATGCCTTCATCCAACCACCCAAAGATTTTAACTGGAACTCTCTTTTAGAATTTTGTAGAGAGCAGTGGCTAAGGTGGGTTATTAAATTCTTCAACCTCTGAACTTTCTGTGCGTTGATGAAAAATAGAGTTTAAAGCTCTGTTACCAACTGGTTGCTCAAGTGTAGATAAGCAATACACAAGAGAAGGGTGACTCCAAATTTTTCCAAAATTAAAGTTGAATAAATATTTATGGGAAAATAGCATATAAAAAACATATATGGAAATTTAATCATAACTGAACTTGAACTTTAATAGAGGAGAAGAGGTTTGTATTAGGTTTGGTCCTTCCTCAAGGCAACTATGTCCTCTCCCATAGATTCCTTTTGCCAAGAAGTCCAGTCCACTATTTTCTTTGAGCCTACAAATACCTTTTGAATGTTAAGGTATAACTTTTACAACCATTATGTTTGAAGCTTAAGGTATAACTTCTTAATCCTTAACTTTGAAGGCTAATGTAGAAACCTCTAAATCCTTACCTTTCAAGGCTGTCTAAATCCCAAAGTAGGTTTCTATCAAAAGTCACAATAACACTCAAGAGGATACCTCACCCCTTTATCTCAAATAAACTCTAAGCTTTTACAAACGACTTTGCTGACTAATGACCTCTAAAAGGTTCGGTATTTGCCAAATAAGTACATGGAAAATAATTTAAAAGATTTCATATTAGAATAAAACTTTGAAGTTCAAACCAGTGAATTTTTTTTGAATGCTTGAGGAGTTTAAGTGAATGATCTTTTCAAGGTTGTTCCCTCATCATCCAAATGTGTTGGAGTGCCCTTTCTATAGTAGGAATAACCATCTAGCTGTTGAGGTTGCTTTAGGATGGAAACTAGCCATTATTTCTTGAGAAAAATGATTGTTGTTGGCTAAAATCCTTTAGGGGATTGATCCTTGAAGCAAAATTGCTTTAGAAAGGCTTTTGGATTGATCCCCTCTTCCTTGTTTTCAAATTGTGCATACTTTTTCTTATTTCCTTCCCTTATCTTTGATTCTTTTATCGCCTTTTGTAAATTCAAGAATTAATCATTTGATTGTCATTTTAAAGCCAAAGACATGAGATTAAAAAAAAAAAAAAAAGAAAACTTCTGGAGAATTATTTTTCACTTAATATTTGAGTCCAAAAATAAATATTTTGCAAAGTAATATTCTTTAAACCTTGCTTTAGCTTAATTATGAAAATATATCTTCACCTTCAATTTTTCCAAAATTTGATTTCTTAAAAAAATGTTAGAGCTGAAGAGCATATTAGTTTTCAAGAATTAAACCTCTAGTCAAGCAAAGCACATAAAAAAAATTCTTTCTCAAAACCAATAATGTCAAAATTGTATTAGGTTCCAAAAAAATAATTTTCTTTGAATATGAATTGGACTTGCATTTAGGCATAGTAAATAATCTTTAAAGCAAACTTTTGGTTTGAGAAATAGACGTATATCTATGCAAATTTAATTTGGAAAGCATACTTAAAGTTCTTGTCATTCCATTACAAAGCCCTTTTTTGTCAAGTATATGCCTTGTAAATCCTGGCATGACAAATATAATAGTCACATAGATGCGGAGGTGACAAAGATGTCAAATTTTAGCAGTTTTGATGCAAATTAAGAACTCAGTTAAAAAAAACTAATATTTTAGGTTTTTAAGTGGATACAATAAAAGAATAAAAGGTTATTGGGGTAATTTTTTTAAAAAGTATAACAGCACTTTTAGTATTTTAGCCTCGGTTGAATTCATAAAAAGAAAGAAAAGTTGAACTGGCTATACAAAGAAAAGCTCATTTTACTTCATTTATTAACCAATCTTGTTGTTGAAGAAAAGAAACCAAAACTTGGGTCCAGCGATGGCTGACAAGGAGCTAGAGGTCCGAGATGAGCTTGCCGAGTCGCTCAATGATCTTTTCAGCAGCCTCTCCACCATGGTCAAGTCCGAGCTCCAGGTCTCTTTAAACCGAAAAAAAAGTTTTCCATTTCATTCATTTCTCTCTAGAACTCTTAATTAGTTCACTAAATTTACATGTCTGGCCTAATTTTACATCCTGTTTGAGCGTTACTCATTTTTTCTTTTAACATTTCTTTTTGTAGGGGACTAACAATATTTTGGAGCTATTGGAGAAGATGAATTTGAAGGTGGCGGAAGAATACAAAGGATTTGGGGACGTGGCATCTGGATTAAGAGTATTTGTGGAACAGTTGAAAAACAAGAGTGGAAACTTTGATGAGTATGTTCAACAGATTGATACAATAGAACAACAAGTTACTGAGTTTGAAGCTGTGATTTCAGTTCTTGATAGATATGTTTCTTTGTTGGAATGTAAAGTACAATCAGTGTACCAACATCCACCTCCTTAATAGATTTTAATTGAGGTTGTGTGTGTGTTTTTTTTAAGAATAACGAACTGTTGGTTAATGTAAATGAGTACATGTCTGGAAATAATATATAATGGGATTTGGCAAACTTTTTGATGTTTCTAGGTGCATTATGACAAAAAAGTGGAAAATTTGTTTGCTTTCATCTTTTTTTATATGAGATCGATTGTTTATTTTTTAAGTAAAAAGGTTTAACATATATTAGTTTTTGAGCATTGTTAATGTTCTGCCATTGACAATACAATGATTAAGAATAATTTTAAAAGTATGGTTTTGATACGTAGTGAATTTATAATTGTAACAACTTTACCATTCTTTTACAAGGTTTTTATATTTTATAAATTTTCATTCAATTAGTATTTAATAACTTTTTATTATTGCAGTATGTATTAAATGATAATCTATATTCCTTGACTAATCCAATTAGCTTAAGGGCATATATCAACAATCTTTCACTTGCACTTAAGTCAATTGTTGATGTATCTGATATCAAACTCTTTCCCATAGTGATTGTGTTTTTTCTAGGACAATTCAAATTGTAATATTTAATAGTATGTTAATTTATATGTTTGACAATCTCTATTGTCATAATAGAAATGCTAATTTAGATCGCAACGAGATCTAGATTTCATTATTATGACTCTTGTTGTTACTTTAATAATTCAGAATTATTTATTGATTCATTAAAGCAATGATCCAAATATATTTTCTTTTATAGCCTAAACAAAAGGTTTGTATCCGATTATAGATATAAAGAAGCAATTATCTCTTATTTTGGAACCATCGCAATACAATTGCTTAATCATGACTTTAT